TGGTTATAGATGTAGTACTTGAGAATTTATATCTGTTCCTTCTTAGAATGCCTTCCACAAAGTTCTGTTCCTGCATTTCTCACATTAGAAAAATCTAATGTATATAAAAAACAATTATCACAACATTAGACATTGCAAGGCACCTGACTTATTGCACCTAATTTGAAAGAAAAGTAATTTAGGCCTCGAATGGTACCAGTTTGGTCCCTCCATTAAAAGTGAATGTTTTTACATCAATACAGAGGAAAAGAATATGTAAGAACCAGTTGACCATACTTCCAGGCCTGCCTCTCCACCGATCACTAATGGTGGCCTGTAGAGGCTAAAGTGAATTCTATGATTCTCTATAAATAAGCTGCATGCATGCATAAGGATTTTATAGATTTTTGCCATACCTTAAGCACAGGTTTTTCTTTTAGGAGCCAATCTTTTTCTGATACAAAATAAAGAGAACTTTTTCATGTGCAAAGGAGGAAAGGCAGTGATCACACTGAGGGAACCCAAAAGAAACAGCTGCAAATTTTGAGAAATGACATTTTTCTTTTCTTTTTGAGGTTTGGCGAAGTCCTACTGGAAGCTGAATTTTGTCTCACAAGCAGTTTGTTACGGTATTGATGTGAGCTGTTCAGAGTTTAAAATGGAGGTTTTAACAGGGCTAGCTACAAGCCTTTTGTTTGTGCTTGAATGTCTCTTGAATAATAGCCATAAACAGATATTCCACTTCCTAGAAGGAAGGAAGTGGCTTGTCAAATGTTATGCATACCATACCTGGGGACAGTATAACAAAATGTTGAATTCTTGCAGTGTTTGACACAAGGAATCTATGATAAACTTTGCTTGATACATTATGATATACAGTATTGTACTATGTGAAAAAGCTGTGATGGCATTATGGAAAAAATTCCTAGATCTGAAATCAGTACAGTACTATTCAGGCACATATGAATTTAGTCATATACTTACTGCAGTTGGAGTTGATCTTTTAAATTTGAAATTGTGACAGTTCTTTGAGATCTGTGATGTGTCACCTACCTGAAAGTCAAACTTCTAGAAGACCAGAAAAAAATACTTCAACATCTCTATGTGAGATGTGGGTGGAAAAAAAACTTGACTGGAAAGATCCCTCTAAGCTAACCTTGGGGTGGTTGGGTGCTAATATTTCCCAGCATCACTTTTGTTCTAGGGAGGACTAGCTCATCAAAGAAGTCACATATTTCATTATATCCTCTTTTTAGTCATTCTGTGTCCGAGTCCTATTATCTCTACAAGTCTGCCAGGAAAGAAAATTTGTTGTATCCTCATTAGGTGTCATTCTTTATAACAGGAGCTTGAACTCTCATTCTTCTTAGACATGTCTCCAGTTCTGTTTTGATATCAATCTCTGTAGTTTGGGGACACTGCCCATCCCTGACATTAATAATAATCACGTGTTAGCAAATCAGCTTTATCTTATGGTGACCCTTTCCAGGGTTTTATTACTTCCTTCCTTTTTAGAATGCTGCAGCTATCTTCTTGAGGAGCACTCATCATAGCAATCCTAGCACAGTCTTAGAGTAGATTAGATATAAATCCAGTGTAATGATCTGTGTGGACTGATTCCTGTTTCCCACCCATCAGCTGTGGTAGTGAGTGGTTTGGCTTCAGAGAAACAACCGAAAAGGCTTCAACTGGATTGTTCTACAACAGAAATTAATATCAAAGAAGTCTAACCTACTTGAGTTATTGTGTTTATTTTTTCAGTATTAGCATGAGATATTTTGGTAGCAGAAGTGAAAACTGATTTCCGCTGTACACCTTTGAAACAGCTGTTCACACACACACAAAATCTGTATAAGCCCAGCATCTTCCTAAGGCCTAAAATCCTCTCTCTAAAAAACATGTGTAATGCTGCATTGCACTTAATATCTGTCTAGTCCAGCATATGTAACATATGTAACATTGGCCAACTTGATGCCTATGAGAGACTCACAAAATGAATGCAATAGCACTCTTCTTGTGTTCTCTGGCAACTGTTTTTCAGAGACACAGTGTCTATAGCATTGGGCATAGCCATTATGGCTGGTAGCCACTAATAGCCTTATCCTTCATGAATGTATCTTATTTTTTAAAAAATATCTAAGTGGTTATCATCTCTGCATTTTGTGGGAGTGCATTCCATGGTTTGTTTTTGCTTCAGTTTATTTGACCTGAATCTCCCACAGTTCAGCTTCACTGTATGATTGTGGGTTTGAGCCCAGCATTCATTTTGTTCTTTTTATAGAGGAGTTGTTCAGCCCATTGATTAACCTTCTAGAAGTGTAGTGACCAGAGTTCTACATAGCATTCCAATTACTGTACACATACCCTAGATATGTGTAAAGGCATTGTGCTCTCGGCAGACTTCTCTTGTTCTTTTTCTTCTTGTGGAATTTTTCCTTTGCTGTGCCAGAGTTTCAGCTACTGTAAATACCCTAAATAAGCTAGTTACAAATCAAATAATTGATATTATAAGGCTTGGCATTGCTCACCATCACAAATGAAGTCATTCAGTTAATTAAAAAAAGGATGAGCCTCCCTGTGGAAAATGTAAGAAGACTGACTTCTTAACTGAACATTTCTTCACAAATCTGAATAGTGACAAAAACTCAGAAAGAGCCAGAAAGGGGCCTATGTCCCATTCCTATCCAAATAAGTTAACAAGAGAATATCTTACTGCCTTTTCTTTCTTCATACTGTTATAAAGTCCATAATAGAGCTGTGATTTTAGTGGCTGCCCTTGTAGACTTCTTCCAGTAACGAAATGTCATTCATCATTAAGCAGCTATTATGGGCAAGGATGTAAATTTTTCATGTAGACTATAGATTTTGGTAAACCCCATCCAGTGCTGTAGAATTTCTTCCCTACATTAATATTATAACAGTAATTATTTTCCAGTAAACAAAAGCTTAATTTAGTGTATGACATATCTCCCAGAATCCATCATTAATCATAACAATTATGTTCTTTTCAGATCTGTATGCTAAATCAGGTATCTGCATTATGGAAAACTGTTGCTAATTGATACAGCCAGGTCAGCTAGGGATGCAGATGGAGTGGGTTCAAGCACAACACAGTTCAGGATCACTCTCCTTTTTCCCCCTTCATAAAATCGCTAAGAAATTGTGGCAGTCATCTGAAGTGAAATGGTGGGAAATTTAAATTATGCAGTTCAGTAAATGTGATGAATAGATGTTGTTAGACTCTAATTCTTATCAGCTCCAGACCAATGGCCAATGGACAGTCACAGTGGAAGTTGTAGTCCAACAACATCTGGAGGGCCACAGGTTCTTCACTCATACCCTAAGTTGTTGCAGAACAAAGGCTTTTAAGAAGAGTACAAAGTCACTTTATTGAACGCAAAGATACCAAGACAGCTCTGCAATGAGTACATATTGACTAGACATTGATTGTCATGTCCCCCAGAAGATTATTATGAAAGAATTGCACTTCTATTTCTTGTATTCCTGGAATAGTTGATGTAATTGGAAATGAGCTAAAGATTAAGTATAGTGTATTGCAGTTCTCAAAAGCAATAGCTTTGATATATGTTGAGATTTTGCGGAAAGTAGGTCTTTTTATTCTTTACACTTAATGTAGTGTCTAAGCTGCACATATCAAATTATTTTAATGGATATGGCAGAAATGCATTTTTCAATGATAAATCCTTTTTATTGTGAGATACTAAAAATTCAATAGCATGAAATCAAAATAAGTTTTTTGTGTTCTGTGTTTTCCATGTCACATGCTCAGAGTGATTCTTAAAACACATATGATAACAATAGCCTTGATTATATTTCATTAACAGTCAATTAATTACAATTCATTTAAAACATTTCAGATTTAAATAAACATATCACATACCAATAGATCATTTAATATCCAGTTTCAGTAATCAGCTTTATGATTCATTTAAGCAATTTACTAAGCAGATCACATTAAGAACACCTAATAAAAGACTTTGTCCACATCAAACTCAGGCGCTGCGGGCTAAACCGCAGAAGCCTGTGCTGCAGGGTCAGAAGACCAGCAGTCGTAAGATCGAATCCACACGCCGGAGTGAGCACCCATCGCTTGTCCCAGCTCCCGCCAACCTAGCGGTTCGAAAGCATGCAAATGCAAGTAGATACATAGGGACCACTTCGGTGGGAAGGTAACAGCATTCTGTGTCTTAAGTCGCACTGGCCATGTGAGCACGGAAGATTGTCTTCGGACAAAACGCTGGCTCTATGGCTTGGAAATGGGGATGAGCACCGCCCCCTAGAGTCGAACACGACTGGACAAAAATTGTCAAGGGGAACCTTTACCTTTACCTTTACCACATCAAACTCAGATAGTGAAAGCTAAAACAGAATATCTGCAAGACACTTCTGAGAGCTTGCTGTTGAACAACAGAAAGAAGACCTTTTTCTCACCAATATCTTATGTATTGAGCCAACAAAGGATGACCCCATGCACATGGCATTTCTGCTCTCAGCTGTTTTTAGGCATCAAATCAGCAAGAGAGAGAAGATGGGGAGGAACCTTTCCCTTGTTAAATGGTATAGTGATAAAGATAGCACAAATGCTTTGAGAAACATCAGAGATGTGAACATCTTCCTTAATGATGGCAGTTGTAAAGAGGCATGCAGAAACATAGGAAGCTGTATTATACAGTTTCATACTGTTGGTCAGTCTAGCTTGTTGTGGTCGACTTTGAGCAGCAATGGCTCTCCTGGTTTCAGGCATGATTCCTAGCTGTATCTGGAGATCCCTGGTATTGCCTGCTCATCTCCCATCTAGGTATTAACAGAAGCTGACCGTATTTAGCTTCTGAAATCAGATGAGATTGAATGTGCTCACACAGATTTACACCTTCAGGGCTTTTTACATGTACAAATGAAGTCTTCAGGGGAAGGTGTGCACTGGAGAAGTTAAGAGCTTGTTGTTTTTCTGTAACCTAAAAACTTGTGCATTGATTTTCTTTTTCTTTGCTTTTGACCAGGGTTGAATTGATTCTTAATTGCTTTGAAGTGACATCCTCATTTAAGCAGCTTGGAAAGTGAGTCATCCATATAAATGCAGGTTTGTTTTCTTTGTTTAAAAATGATGCCTGCTTGTTTTAGTGTAAGTGCAGCTTAGCAGCTCAAAACCCAATCCTGCACCACCAAATTAATTACAACCCTAACTTAGTCTTTGCTTCCTGTTAGTTAATATAAAATAGGAGGATGGTCCCTTTCAGCGGGGGACAGGCAATCTGTAGCGGTGCAATTTATTCTGAGAAAATATTTTGTGCACTGGTGCTAACTTTTGCAAGAAGTGACAATTAATTCATAGGTTTCTATAAGAAAGCCACTGGCAATGGTGCGGCTAAAAAATATTGTAAATAATATAAGAATATCAATATAGGGGAAATAATTGTTTTTATTTTTTTACCAGAGGAAGTCATGAAGTCAAGCAAAAAGAGTGTAGCATTTGTTATAGTACTTGGTGAACCATTACAAAGTACAACATCTAGTCAAATGAATGCAAATATCCAGTTAACTAAAGAATGAGAAGCTCATCTGAACTTGGCATCACCAGAGATAAATAGTGACTGAGCCCAGGGAGTTACAATTAGTGTGTAGGTGGAATTAGGACCTCAGTAAGCCACACAAGCCCCTTTTTTGAGAACTGAAAGTTCATATCCATGTTTTATCTCTGGAGCCTAAAACACAGTGCAGTAGAGGCCCAAGTAGATTTGAAATGGCCAGTCTCATCCTGGAGTCTTCTGGGGATACTGTTAGTCATTTTGAGGCTGAATTCCACCCAGGTTTCTTCAAGGACTCTAACTCTCAGTTTTCCTCAGGTATTCTGTACTCTGTAGTTTTGGTATTTATGTCAATTTGAAAGGATGCCCAGTGTGCACTACATTATGAAACATCTAGTTGGGTCTCTCAAGTGCAGACCCAAATTAGGACACAGAAAGAGAGAGTAGAAGAGAAGCTAGCATTATAACTTGTGCAGTAGTAACATGCTGAGTTGTACAGTGATGCCACACAAGACGAATGCCTCACAGAATGAAAAACTCACAAGGTGAAAGCATTTTGCGAGTTTTTCAGTGACTCGCAAGACGTTTCTTGCAAAAATTTTCATCTTGCGAGGCGCGGTTTCCCATAGGAACACCCGCCTCTCAGCTGGTTGCCGCCTCTCATCTGTTCGGTGCTCTGCTGACACACACCCCTTAGGAGGAAACAGCGCCAGGATCCAATAGAACAGCCCCTCTGCCCATCTCTCAGCTGTTCTATTGGATCCTGGCGCTCACACACACCCCTTAGGTATTACTCTTAGTATTATACTGCGTGTTCTTTTTATACTACCTTCTGAGGGTTTTAGGTGTAAAGAGTGTTAGAAATTTCAAAACAGGTCTTCTTTAACAAGATACATATTCATCTTTGATCAGATAATAGCTACACTTTGGGTAGCCTCAGCCCCACAAACTTACATGTTATCTCCATATTACTCATAAAAGAATAATTCAGTGAGACATCTATTATGTACCACCTAGCTTTGAAGATAGCTGAAATCCTGGCTTTCACTAGTGTGTTGTTTCAGTTTTCTAGATCCTGTGTAATTTCTGTTTGCACTCTCATTGAGTCTAAACACAATTTAGAGACCATAGAACTGTTATAACACAGTTTTATCTGCAATACACGAAAATAAAGCTATAATAAAAATGTAACTGTCTATTTTTGTGTCACTCTTTCCTTCCATGTATGTAGTATTTTAATGTAAAAGAAGACTGTAAAGCCATGGCTTTCTGTGCAAAAATGAGAAGTTCCAAGAAAAATGACATGAACACAGAAACTCAAGAGCAAGGACTAGAAGTAGCATTTTATTTACAAGAGAAGCCTTCTCTTATATATACATCTGGCTGGTACACAGCAGAAGACCTTTGCATTGAAGCTGCCCAGAAATGCTGTAAGTTCAGTAGTCTCCTATCTTGCTTTTTAATCTACACAGGGACACTTTCAAAGGGATCTGGCCAATTACTGTGTGGCAGGCTTAATATCTGTTCTGGATAAATTGGTAGAAAGCATTAGTAAAAATAAAATTTTGAGCAAACAGAATGAGAAATTTTGACTGAGAAGAAAAATCAAAGGTAAGTCCTTTTTAAGCTTTTAGAGTTTTTATAAGAGTGTCAACAAGCATGTGGATGGAGTAGGTCACTGTCTGGACTTTCAAACGTATTTTGACAAAATCATTCACCAAAGCTTCCTTAGCAAATTTAGCAGGCATGAGATGACAGAGGTCACTTTTAGTGCTGTTAGATGTTAAAGAACAGATGCTAGGAATAAATGATTAGCTATCTCTATGGAGGGATGTAAACACCAATCTCCCTCTAGGATTTGTATTGGAACCCATTCTTTTTAACATATCCATAAATGATCTGAAGTTAAGCAGATGAGTAGCAAAATTTTGCTGACAGTACAAAATTATTTGTTTTAAAGAAAGGGACAGTGAAAAGTTTTGCCAAGATTTGTCAAAAACTTTTGAAATGGGCATTGAAATGGTAAATGACCTTCCTTGCAAGTGAGTGTAAAGTGATGCACATTGGAATGAGCCATTTGAAATTTCACATACAGTATATCTTGAAGGGAATCTGGGCCTGTAGTGCCTAATTAGGAAAACATCTTGGGATTATGGTGAAAATGTCTTTCTCGTGTTCATCATGAGAGTTCCCCTAGGCCAGCCTCGCACCCATAAGGAGAGTTGATTCATACAGGCAGCCAGATTAGTCCATATCAGTCAATAAGAAGGACAGATTTATATAAAGTTCATGGCTTTCATTAATCATGCAAGCCCAAATCATTCCAAATTCTTTACCTTATAACAGGGATTACTTGCAACATTGTACTATTCCTTAGAAAATCAATTTCTCAATGTCTGTGAGGACTGCAGTCAGGTGGTGTAGTCGGGTAGGCAATATTGTTATAGTCTCTGCGGCACAGAAAGTCCCAGGACTTCGATCCTGAGATTGTGACCACCCTTGAACATTCCAGTCAGAGTGCCTAGGAAAAGAATATTGTAGAGCGGGTGCAGAACAATCCACAGCCTAGTGCAATTGGCCTATGAAAAGAATGAACATTTGGGGCTTCTTAGCTGGGAAGAAAAGTGCGTGAGTGGGGACATGATAGTGCAATTGTGAGTTAGAATGAATAGGGAGATATTTACTTTCTCCCTCTCTCAGAATGCTGGAATTTGAAGGATGTAGTGAAGCTGGATCAGAATAGGTAGAGGAAGAGCTTCACATAGCAAATAATCAAGTAGTGGAATTTATTCCATAATATGTAAGTGATGGCTCTCAACTTGGATGAGTTGAAAAAGTGGTTATACATGTTCATGAGGATCAAGGGTTCCATATTGCTTCCAGTATCAGATGCAATATGCCTTGAAATACCAGCTGCTGATAACCATTTGTAAGAGTGTGTCCTTCCACTTTTGAGTTGCTGGAGGGCTTTTGGCAGAAACATCATTAGCCAATGCATGGCAAAAGGCTCAAACTTGGTGTCATTGTTTACAGGTGCTAGATTACAGTCCCACAGAATGTCTACTTTGTACCTCAGGTTCAGTGTCGATTTGGAAACAAAATGTTACTTTATTTCCCTAGTGCTCAGTTGCTTACAAATCTGTCTTGTTTCCTCTTGTTGATAGATATACTGTAACAGGTTTACTAATACTGACTGCTGAATAATAGCTATTTATTATAATTTACAATCATTATTTTAACAACCCATTTGTTAATGCTGATTAATTTTTTTTTCAAAACTGCCAGATACTTTCACGTGTATTTGTTCTAACCTGTGTATACAGTATATTTGCCCATATATCTTCTTGTAAGTCTTGAAACTGTGCAACTCAGCTTGGAGAAGTTGATAGCGCATTATAATTCATTTTCAGGAACATTGTTAAAAGATTCAGAGTATGGTGTATTGTGTGTTCCTGTTGGGGAGAAAATTGAACAATCAAGAATCAAGTAGAACATGCACAGAACACATGATCTGCTCCTAATCGTTCTAGTGGCTCATGTGGGAATGAGTGTCCAAATAGAATATAGATTTCTGGATTTAATATTTCCAAACATATTCTTATATATCTGTAATGCTGAGTGTTCTTGCTAGATTGGACACAGAGAGTGCAGCCTATCTGCATGTACAGTGTTTTTATGATTAATCTCATTTAACTGTAGGTTTCACATGTACTACTAATTCTTCCGATCTTCTGTTGCCCTCTATAGCGAAAACTGAAATCTAGCATTTTGTTATAGTTCTGATGACTGCAATCAATAGAATTTATAAGATTTTTTATACCTGTATTGTTACAAATAGCAAACAGCTTATGTAATCACCTTTTACTTTTTAGGAGGCATTTTATATGCAACTTTTCAAAGTATCTACTGAATTAATTGTCTTTTATCCTTTCATTTCGACAGCTATATCTCCATTATGCCATAATCTGTTTGCGCTCTTTGATGAAAGCAGAAACCTGTGGTATGCACCAAATAATGTCTTCCAAATAGATGACAAAACTGCGCTCCGGCTTCATTATCGCATGAGGTATATGTGACATTCTATAGTGAGACTGTTAAGACTGTTGAAATCTGAATCATGAGCTGAATCCAGTGTTCACCAACCTAGAACTGACCCACTGAAATGAGAGGCAAAATTAAGGGCAGAGTCAAGAGCTCTTCATCTCATAAAATCTACTAAGTAGAACTAATGTTGGATTTAGCTTATTTTCGAAGAATTGTGCCTTTTGTACCACATATTTAATTTGCTTTGATTCAAAGTGCAGTGAGTCTTCACATTGTAATCCAGGAAGTGATAATTGGAGGGATTTCAAAAAGGTTGGAGCTTTTTCTGCTTATAATGACCCAGAGGCTTATAACACAATGTTGTTTAGCTGCCTTAGATTTCAAGGGATATGTAGGCAGAAAATAGCATATAATTTAAATTAATGAAGTAACATGGTTGGTTGAACGGTACTTTTAATAAATAAAAACAGGTATGTCAATTTAATTTCTGCTACTCTGTATGAACTTAAATCTAATTGCTAGAGTAGACAAATTGAATCAGTTTTGAATGGTAAGTTGGCAGTTATTTAGTTTTTCAGTAGATCTGCTCTAGCTGGGACTAATAATTAGATTTAGGCTTTAATAAGAATATAAATTTAAATGAAGAATGCGTCTCTTGAAATGTTGCCTTCTATGGAATGTTTGTTTCAAAAGACTACTTAAAATATCTTTGAGCATTAGGGCAGGCAGTTTTAGTGTTGCAATGTTGCCGTATAGAAACCAGTTTGATCCTTGTGGGAATATTAAGTGCCAACAACACAATTTTAAAAAGAGCAGGCAGGGCTAGGATTCATTTGTGTTCTTTCTTCAATTATATTGATCATTTAGAAAAAATTGTCCAGTTATGTAAAGTGCAGAAATGAGATGACAAATGGATCTGAAAATGAATGGGTTAGATTTTGGAATGATAAGCAAAAGCAGTTGTTTTGATGATCCTGAAGGATATATGGCAGTCTTTTTATCTGAACACTCACAGGATTTTTTTTTTCTAGCTAGTTCCTTCTAAAATTTTCTGGAATTTCTAATTAATGAGTCTTATGGATTATGTTTCTGGTATCTTCAGGAATGCATAAATACTTCTCAGTAACTTGAAAGAGATTGTATATTGGAAATTTTTTTGGAAGGAAACAGTCTGTTTTTAGTCTGCATTTTGGAGAAAACAAATCAATTCTAACTCAGTACATTTAGCTTTTTTTTTGAAGGAAACAGTCTGTTTTTAGTCTAATTTCTGCATTTTGGAGAAAGCAAATTGTAGCAACCCCAGACCTACTGGAGTACTTGAATCCTACTTAATGTCATGATCTTCATTATATCTCTTCTTTATCACTGAAGAAGGCCAGTGGGTAGAATGTTGGACTAGGACCCAGGAGACATGGGTTCAAATACTCTTTCAGGCATGGAAACTCACACGGGGGAGGAGTAGCAATCGTAAATCACTCCTTGAACATTTTATATACCTTGAAAACCCTATTGGGGTCACCATAAATTTGGTTTATATCTCAGCACTACTCACTATGCCAAATTAGATCTGGCAGAAGTCAATACAAACAGAATGTTACCATTGCATTATCAGAATACTCTGTTAACCTTCAGTTTCCTGACTTTGTTTTCACTGTATTGGGAAGAGAAATTGTTACGGGAAAAGCTGAGAAGAGACTTCCTGAATATTCTGTACTTAGTTTTTTTTTAACAGAATGTTTAGCATTTCAGTCAGCATATTCGCTCAAATGTGTGTACTTACTGTGTAAAAAGTTATAGGTTATTCAACAAATATTTGTAATCATATTTGTTTTTGTGTTTGAAGCAACTAAACTTTACTTCATTAGATGTTCAGCAGCAGAATATTCATAGAGGTAATGTAGTGCAGTGGTCCCCAAACTTTTTGATACCAGGGACTTGTGGGGGGTATTTGTTATTCAGTAGGTTGTTGGAGGATAGCTTTGAATCAAACTCATTACATGTATTGTGCCAGGACAGATGAGCGGCGAGCAGGAGCAGGAGGTGAGCTGAAATTGAAGCTCTGCCTCCTATTAGATCAGCAGTAGCTTAGAACCTAATAGGAGCACGCTTCACTGGCCGCTCACCTCCTGCTCCTGCTCACCTCTCATCTATCCTGGCAGCCGACTCCTTCTAAGGCCACAGACCGGTCCTGGTCCACGGACCAGGGGGTGGGGACCCCTGGTGTAGTGGATAAGAGTGACAGACAAGGACTCAGAAAACCTAGGTTTAAATCCCACTTGCCCATGGAAACTCATGGGGGCACTGTTAAAAATATTAATTAAAAATCTCACTTAACCTCAAAAACCTTACTAGGGTCTATATGTCAGATGTTACTTCACAGTGCATAACATAATGTAGACCAATGTGTTATTGAAATATTTAGTCATTTAAAGTACCACAATCACTTTTGTCAATCACAGATTGTGGGGTGGGGGAGAAGGGATGGGGGAAAAGGCTTAAGTTTAGAGTGGAATGTCGGAAACAACGAGGTAGACTACTTTGAGAGTTCTTAGTCCTAAATCCAAAATACTCTTGTTTTAATCAGAGTTAAAATGTGGAAAATGGGGAGCACTCTACTAAAAATATACAGTGGGGTCTCGACTTACGAACGGCTTGACATACGAACGTTTCGACTTACGAACCGCTCTCATAGGAATATATGGACTCAACTTACGAACTTAGATTCAAGTTACAAACTCTTTTTTTCCCTTTTTTTAAAAGCTAAGTCATCTTAGGTTAAAAGGAAAAAAGAAAAAATATCCCCCTCTAGTGGCAGAAGGTGGAATAGCAGCTTCCCATTAGTTTCTATGGACGAAAAGAGCAGATACAGATTAAATGGTTTTCAATACATTCCTATGGGAAATGCAGATTCGACTTAAGAACTTTTCGACCTGAGAACTGCCTTCCAATACGGATTAAGTTCTTAAGCCGAGGCCCCACTGTATATACAAATGCAGTATCAGCCTAGAAATGGGATGGGATTGCAGTCATTGACAACCTTTAACAGCAGTGGTTGATTGAATTTAAATAGATTTAGTACATGAGGCAGGAAGACTGAGTGAAGGCCACTGGTTCTGTCCTTGTTAACTAGTGGGGATAATTAGGGAACCTACCAAAATACTAGCATGAATATGGTTTCTTCTGGTAGGTGACGGACTGTGTTCTGTGTCTCTGGCTGATGTGGTTTGCACAATTTGCAGTGTCTTTGAAGGCAGTGTAGGGTTAGATAAGGCAGTGCTTTTTTTCCTCCCCTGTCTCGGGCTCTCCAGTACCAGCCTGAGGAACTGCTTGCTGGTCTGTTTTTAATATTTTAGTGATAACTGTGTTACTCATTCTTGTTTGGGAGTGGTGCAGAATACCCGTCTTTTCAGTGCCATAAGCATCTATGCCTAGTTCCCAGGAGCTGTGACATCTTTGGAGAGCCCCCTCCCCCATGGCCTGTGCCACGTATGCTGTACCTGCCATAAAGCAGGTACTGCAGCATTACTGGCATCCATGCAGAAAACCCAGGCCAGACCTTATTTGGAGTTGGTATAAGCAATTACTCAAAAGAAGACATGGTAAAGGAAATACGATAAATTTCATGTGGTGGTTAAGAGTTGTAAGGTCTGGGAGGGAATAACAAGGTGCTGGAGAGGACAGCTGCATACAAGATTGCTTATGTTTAGTCAGTCATAACTAATAAATCATGAGATAATTATTATTCTTTCAAGGTGATCATTATATTTTTGACCTGTGTTCCATTTTGATATTTGCAGTTTTTATTTTCCAGTTATACACCAAGATGTTAATTTATATGTAACTCAGAGTGGCTTCCTTAAATCTATATTTTCTCAAGGTTTTATTTTACTAATTGGCATGGGACAAATGAAAATGAGCCATTTGTATGGAGACATTCACCGAAGAAAGCAAAAAATTCTTTTGAAAAGAAACAAATGCAAGAAGGAACACCTCTCCTTGATGCTAATTCGCTGGAATATCTTTTTGCACAGGCAAGTGATTTTTATGAGAGAATTGTTAGATGTTTTATATTTGCTATTACAATAGCATCTACTTAATTCTGTTATAACTCTAAAATTTATCTTTGCTTCTTCAGTGGTAGAGATGGTATCTGAGGGTCATGAGGCTGTATTCTTCCCACCACTTTTTTAAAAAAAAAATTACTAGTATAAACTTGAAACGGATGTCTGTTTTTTGAAAAAAAAGTTTAATGGTTTTCTGTTCTTCATTGAGTTGTTTGGCAGTTTGAATTCTACACTTTGAATGCATATGTGCAGAAAAGCAGTCCATACATAAAATGAAACTTTCAAAAATTAGTATTAAGTTGCAGCTCCTTTTACATAGTACATTTTGATCAAGACAGTGTTTGGTGGCATTGTTTATTTGTACATTCTCTGTGGGGGGGGATTGTTATTTATTTATTTATTTATTTTTGGAGAGGAACGAAGCACTATTGGTGTTCTGCTTAACATGTCTGTGTACATAGCTTGGTTTTTGTATGTGTATTTTGAGGTTGAAGTGATACAACTCTGCATTTAACTAAAATAGATAACACTTACTTTTCAATTTAGGGGCAAAATGATTTGGTAAGATGTTTTGCACCTGTTCGGGACCCTAAGAATGATCAGGAGATTCATGAAATTGAAAATGAATGCCTGGGCATGGCTGTACTTGCAATCACGCACTATGCAATTAAAAAAAAACTGAGGTTGCCAGAACTTCCCAGGGACATCAGGTGAGTTAGAAGGAGTTGGGTATTGTTCTTCATATAGTTCCCTTTTTTTGTCTGATGTGTGAGAAGTTAGAAGGAGAGTTATATATAGTTGATTATATTTTTCTGGCTAGTTAATTGACAGTAGAGAAGACAGTGGATATTTCTACTTTTGCTCTATATTCCTGAACAGATGTTGGGAAGTAACTTCAGAAATGAATTTCTGAAATGGTTAAGGAACTTTGACTCAGGCCCATTACTGGATAAATAAGAATTTTTTTTTGATACATAAACTGTTCGAGGTTTAAACAAAATTTCAAGGGGAAATTATAGTGGAGAAATGATAGTAAATTGGTTGCATATATGTGAATATGTTGCAAGTTTAAACAAAATTTCAAGGAGAGGTTATATCAGAGAAATGATAGTAAATTGGCTGCATATATATAAATATGTTGCACCAAAGCTGTTGATGGTGGACTTTTATTTATATTTTTTCAGTAACATATATTTTTTTCTGAAGCTTTTTATACTCATGCATTCTGGTTTGCATGGAATGAATGTTCTGCTTTGCAGTTTTGAGAAAAGAGTATATTGACAGGAGCAGTACATGCATATTTGTATTTTTTTATAAAATATTGAATATTTAATAATATTTTTCAGCTATAAACGGTATATTCCAGAAACTCTGAACAAGACCATAAAACAAAAGAACATTTTAACCAGAATACGGATAAATAATGTTTTCAAGGATTTTCTAAAGGAATTTAACAACAAGACAATTTGTGATGGCAGTGTTACCCCACATGATCTGAAACTAAAATACTTGTCAACAATGGAGACGTTAACAAAATATTATGGAGCGGAAATATTTGAGACAACTTCATTGCAGATTTCATCAGAGAATGAGATGAATTTCAACTTTGATGCCTATGACGTCATTCCTCAATATGAAGTGATGGTAACAGGCAACCATGGAATCCAGTGGCGACTTAAACCATCTGTGCGTATCATACATTCACAGGTGTTAAGAAAGTGAGCTGTAATAAAATCAGCAAAGTGTTGGGTTTTTTTTTAAAAAAATCTTAATAAGGTAGCTTATCCAGGCATTTAAGCTTTAGTGAAACCATACATTAATTGATACATTTCTGTCTAGCTCCTGAGAGTATGTGATAGAACTGAAAAAGATAGTAGGTGAAGAGGAGTTTCTGTTGAAAATATCAAGGATTATAATGTTGCAGATTAATAAATAAAATAAAAGGAGGTAGTCTATTCTTTCAAAGTTAGCAGCAATTTATAGCAGCAAGTGAATTGTACTGAAAGCTGTGTTTGCTATCAAAGTAGATATTTGGTACAACAGCAAGAGATTTGTAATGAAAGCTACTGTCACGATTCCCATGTGGACCCTGGTTGTTTCACCTAACTAAGAGCTCACGCTACATGTCTTTCAGCTGCCACCAGTTGATTACATCAACATTATTATTAATGACTGAGGTCCAGGCTGTATGTTATTTTAAAAGAACCAAATAGAAATTGTTTATTATTACAGATGATGATAGTTCAAGCAATATTGTTAATTCTTAACAAACATCCTCCTTCATCCTCTCTCAGCCACCACTCTCCCACCCAAACTCCAAAAACTCTTCCAGCTTTCCCGTAATCTCTCAATCTCCTCAACTCCAACTCTCAAACTCCTTCACTTAAGTCTTCAACTAACTCTCTCTCCTCCTGCTGTGCCTCTTATATCTTGTTACTCCACCCCTCCAGTACTCCCATTGATCTATGCAGATATTACATTAATATTCATGACTTGGGCGGATGACACAGCTACCTATTAATGACATTCGAGAAATAATTAGCACAAGTTGCATTGTGTATTGGTGCCATCCTTTCAATAATCTGTACCATTGCACTGTATGATATATTTGGATACAACCATTGGGGGTGCAGATTCAGTTGATTTTTCTAAAATGTAGGCACAAAGAATATCTATATAACATTAATATTTTCAAAACCAGAAAGATACAGGCTTACTGCAGTAAATTTCTTTGACCTCATCATTAATGAAAATCCATACCAATCCACAGCAGTACAGTATTCACAATAATGTTAATCCAGTAGTCCTGGCTTAGTAGAAACTAAGCCACACAGCCTGTTGCATCCCTTTACCACCATTAAGTAAAACAAACCACAAGAGGAATGGTTTTATAACTTAAGAACTGGCTTGTTTGAGAGTAGCAAAGGAGGCTTGTGGGTTGTGACGTCATAAAGAGTTTCCCTGACCCTCATTTGTAATAAGCCAGAACAGGAACTGCTAGATGTATTTTATTTAGTTAGTAGGACTTCATTAGAGCTTGATGTTATGAAGCAGTTTCTAATTCTGGAGGTTTAAGGGTCAAATCTGTGCCCCCAGATCCCTCTATGTGCATCAAGGAGCCCTTTGTAAGAAATTGGTTATGTGTAGACCAGCACAGTATGCTCAAATAATTGGATTATCATTTTATCTTTCACTATTTTTGTAACTAATCTTTATTTGTTTTTCATACATATGCAGAGTTATTTGAAGTAATGCAGTCTTCTACCTCTGCCCTGTTTTAATGTACATGTACTTGCTTCAACCAGGTTACACAGAGTGAGAAAGAAAAACATAAAACAAAGAGAAAAAAGTCAGACAATAAAGCCAAGAAAAATGAAGAAAAAAACAAGAAAGAAGAAAGGTGGAGCAGCTTTTGTTACTTCCCTGAAATTACTCACCTTGTTATCAAGGATTCCGTAGTCTGGATCTGCAGACAAGATAACAAACGGATGGTAAGTGTTCTTCTTCTCATAAATACATGTGCACAACATGCTAATACTGTGTTTCCCCGAAAATAAGACAGGGTCTTATATTTTTGCTCCCCAAAAAAAGAAAAAACACATTAGGGCTTATTTTCAGGGAAAGTTTTATTTATTTTTTTCATGTACAACAATCTACATTTATTCAAATATAGTCATGTCATCTTTTTCTGGTTGCTGCACAATGGTGGAGGGTGGGGTTTCACTTAACTGGGGCTTATTTTGGGGGTAGGGCTTATATTACGAGCATCCTGAAAAATCATACTAGGGCTTTTTTGGGTTACGTCTTATTTTCCGGGAAACAGGGTAGTTTCCAAGCTGGTATCTCCTTGATACTGTATCGTCCATCTATAATGTACATTGCAATCCTTACCTTATACTGATGGAAAGAATGGGAGAATTTCCACTCCTGTACTAATGCTATGAATATGTCTTGACTGTAAAACTCTCAAGTCTACATATACTGTAGGAAGGTGTCTTGCAACTATAAGTGGCCTGTGTTCTCTCATCCCTCCAAACATTTCTTCTTCATTTCTGCATAAAGCAAGGAAAAGGAAACAAAGGGCATTGCCTCACAGTTAAATGGTTCTTAATATGATATAATTTTATAGTATGATTTCATGTTAAAAGGCCTTTGCTCTCCTCAACATTTCTTTAGCAATCTTAACTTCAAATGAGAATTTTCCTCAGTTGTAGAAATAATAGATTCATAGTAATGGTAGGTGCATGAAGCTTAAAGTAAGATTGCTGAATGTTGACTCCTGCTGTCTCTTACCTGAAGCAGAATAATTCTGTATAAAATTAACGATTCTAGGAACTTAAACTATCTTCACATGAGGAGGCATTATCATTTGCTGCATTGGTGGATGGATACTTCAGACTTACTGCAGATGCACACCACTATCTCTGCACAGATGTTGCACCACCCTTGATAGAACACAACATTAAAAATGGCTGCCACGGTCCAATTTGGTATGTAAACCTCCTTCCAACACTCTGCTTTATAAGGGAGGCAGTAACATTTATTTAAATAATTCTTCTGTTTTCTAGGAATGGGATTTTCATGTTGAGAGTGTATAACATGACATAGGATCTTTTCAAGTTTTTTTGTTGATTTCTGGAAGAGAAACCAAAGAGGTGATGATGTAGAAATAAGAATGGATGCCACCATGTGTATTTGGGCTTTCTGAATGAGCCTCGTGGCACGGTAGTTAAACTGCTGTACTGCAGCCAAAACTGCTCACAACCTGGGGTTCAATCCCAGGTAGCCGGCTCAAGGTTGACGCAACCTTCTATCCTTCCGAGGGTGGTAAAATGAGTACCCAGCTTGCTGGTGGGGGGGGGGGGCAATGGGTAGCTTGCATAATTAACTTGTAAACCGCCCAGCGATTTCTTGGCACACTATGGGGCTGTGTGTGTGTGTGTAATATAAAAGCAGCAGACTTTGCTTTAGTGTGAGAAACTTGATGTGTAAATTGGGGACTCACTGAAGAATCATGTTCATGCAGGATCTGAGTAGGCACATTTGAGTACAACGTGCAAGTCTCATGCAGTTTCTCCTAGGTACTTTCTTTCGTAATTAATCATTTTGTAAACAACTGTTATGTAGCATTGAGACATCAATGAAAGTGTTAATCTGTATCAAAAGCACAATTTGTGAGATTGTCACTCCCCAGCCCTTAGCCAGACATTTTGGGCCATAAAAATGGAATTTCATATTCTAGATTCTGCAGTCAAAATTCTTTCCACTAAATTTTGGTGACCTCTGTTTTCAAGTACAAGTATTTTTAAAAAAAGATTACAGTGTTTTAAAAATGTAGCCTGGTTTTGTTTCATCATCTGGAATAAACCCTTTATAATGTATTTGGTAACAAATAACAGTTAGAAGGTCAGGATTTATTTGAGATATGTTTTCATGGACTGTAGGCCATTTCTTCATGCACCTGAAGAAGAGTATTATGGTTCTCAAAAGTTTAATTAAACTCATTAGTTTTTGATGTCATTTTTTTCTAATTTACGGCAATCTTATGAATTAGTGACCTTCAGAGTGTCCTATTGTTAACAGTCAGTAAGCTGTTAGCAAACTAAAGCTGTGGCTTTATTGAGTCAACTCATCTCACATTCAGACTTTCTTTCTTTTTTTCCCCTGCTGCCCTCAGGTTTTCCCCGCATTATTTCTTTTTCTAGTGAGTCTTGTCATTTAATCGTTTTTCCTTCTATAAGTTCAGGCTTAATTTGATCTAAAATCCACTGGTTTGTCTTTCTGGCAGTCTGTGATCCTCGTACAGCTTATATCACATTTCAGATGAATCAAGTTTTTTTTCCCTTATCAGCTTTTATCGCTCTCCAGGTTTCACTTCCTTACATAGTAATTAGGAATACAGTGGTGCCCCGCATAGCGAGGTTAATCCGTTCCGGATTAACCATCGCTATAAGAAAACATCGCTAAACGGAATGGAAAATGCCATTGGAATGCATTAAACTTAGTTTAATGCGTTCCAATGGCTTCTGTACTCACCGTTAATCGAAGTTTTCCCCATCCACAGCCATTTTCGCGCCCTCGGTAAGCGAGGGCAGGGCGCGAAAATGCTGCACGTGGCCATTTTGGGCATCCGGTGGCCATTTTGAAACCACCGAACAGCTGATCCACAGGCGTCGCAATGCAAGTTTTGCCCATTGCGGCGGTTGGGATGCCTTCACATTAGCGATCCAAAAAAAGGGATCGCTATGCGAATTCATCGTTATACAGTACGCTCGTTAAGCGAGGCACCATTGTACAATGACCTTTGTCTTGGTCTTCAGTGACACATCTTTTGCGGTTCCTTCATTGTTTCCCTTCCAACCATCTTAATGATTTCTTGGCTGCAGTCTCTGATGATTGAATCAAGTTAGTCTTTAAGATGTCAAAAGATTGGTGTTCTTTTGCAACAGACTGCAGACTAACACATCTAGCTCTCTGGAACTTAAAAGGCAGGCTTGCTTTCAAAGGGGTATTAAATTGTGTGTGAATATAATTACTCATTTGTAAACAATTTCAGCACAGAATATGCTATCAACAAATTGAAGCAGGAAGGCAATGAGGAGGGCACGTATGTGCTGAGGTGGAACTGTACTGACTTCAATAACATCCTCTTGACTGTAATATGTACAGAAGACTCACAGGTATGATTAATTTTTATGGTTTTAATTTGTATCAGTGGCATGCACAGTGGTTTTATTAGTAAAGAATATCTTGATATGTAGAACATAACTTAAAAAGTTAGGTTGAGATTCATTGTTAGCAGTGTTGATGCTTCTGAGAATCCAGCATGAGTGTAATACTTCTCCCAACTTGCCTAGAAGCTGGAACTTGCTGACTCCCATATATTTTCCTGTGGTTTAAGCTGTCAGTCTAGTCAGCTGCAGGGCAAGGAAGTTTAGAAGAATTGTCGCTGGTTAATAAACTGTAGTTTAGTTTGAGCATAGTTGTTTTTATTCATCTGTAATATCTACTTCTTACCATTTGGCATAAAATGTAGTTATAGTTTGATATCAATCAGCAAGGTTTGGTAACAAACGAAGCAGATCTGAAATCCCTCTGCCATAGTACTGTTGTTATAGGACTAATGATCACCATCTCCATTCTAGATTTGAAATAAATCTGGAATATGGTTTTTTTTAGATCTTACAGGGAATCATCCAGAGTTTCTGGAGTATGCTACAAGATAAGGTCAAAATGCTTCAGTCAATGGACGTAAAATCAGTCTTGGGAATTATTTCATTGCATCCATTGGCATTTTTAAGGGATACGTTTATTCTAATTATTTTCTACATTTTTGTATTAAATTAAGAATGACTTCTGATCTCTGCTGTCCTTTCTCTTTCTCTGCAGCAACTGATAAATCCTCCCAAACATTACAAGAACTTCCAAATTGAAATGAAAAAAGATGGCTGTCTCTTACATGGATCTGATAAATTCTTTCCATCTTTGAAGGAATTGATGGACCATTTAAAAGGGCAGGTCCTTAGAACGGATAATATAGTCTTCACTCTCAAGCGATGCTGTCAGCCTAAACCAAGAGGTAGTGTCTTTAATTAGTATTTCATAGAAAAGAACATAGAACTATCTGTCCTGCTGAGAGAGAACAATTTGTTGGTATCCCTGTGATTTCATGCTCATTTAAGCTTGATGTAATATTTTACTGTACAGTGGCGCCTCGCTTAGCGATGTTAATTTGTTCCGAAAATTTGCTGCTAAGCGATTTCATCACTAAGCGAAACGCAGTTCCCCAATTGAAATGCATTGAAACCTATTCAATGCATCTCAGTGGGGGGGGAAATACAACAACAAATTAAAAAAAGAGTCAGAACAAAGTCAAATTTGGTTAACAAAGGGTTTATTAAGTGCACTTTATGATTTCAAACATTTTAAACAGTAAACTTTAACTTTATAAATAACAGAAAAACATTTAAAAAACAGCAAACATGAGGCTGTTTAAACCATCGTTAAGCGAAACGGGACCCAAAATTTAATCGCTGTGCGAAGCATGGTTCCAACCATCGCTAAGCGAAAATCGCCCATAAGCCCATTGCTAAACGGAGCGAAAAAATGCTCCAAAAAAGTCATCGCTAAGCGATTTCGTCGCTAAACGGAGTGCCCGTTAAGCGAGGCACCACTGTAATATGTGTGTGTTCCTAATACTAAGACTTGTGGTTGATAAACCGACAAATTGATTTGTCAATTTGTTTTTTACTTTAAAACCCTATGAAACATCCTCCAAGCATGTAGAGAAACCAAATTTGCAGGAAAGCTTCCCATGACTATCCTCTATAAGCCCTATAAGTTTGGGTTTCAGATGTCCAAGTTATACACTTACAAGTAATCCCCCAGGAAATCCCCTCCCAGCACCTAGACACACTAAAACTACAGAGAAGCCTCTGCTGATTCTCCTCTATAATCCTTCCAAGTTTGATGAAGTTTGGGTTTCAGGCATTGAAGTTATACACCCATAAAGTGCCCCCACAGGAGAGTGCCCTTCACTCTTCACCAAACTTGGCGGGGTTGTAAAGGAGAGTAGGTAAAAGCTTATCTGTGATTTTGGAGGGAACTTTCTTAGGGGAGCCCTTCGTGGGTGTATAACCTGGACATCTGAAACCCAGTCTTCACCAAACTGGGAGGGATTGTAGAGGAAAATCAGAGGAGGCTTCCCTGCAATTTTGTTGTCTCTAGGTACCTTGGGAGCCATTTTATAGCCTGATGAATAAAAAATCACTAAAAATTCATTGATTCATATTCATTGGGGCCATTGAGTCATGCAAATACAAATTGACAAATTAGCGATTTTTCAATGAATTGTTTATTTGTTTTTTAATTCATGCCAATCTCTAATAGTCACTCCAAATACTAATTTTGTCTTGGAGAGGGCCATATTGTGAAGAAGAAATCAGCAATTTTATACTACCTGGAGTAAGAGATAGATAAATCCTTCTAGGAAGATGTACATGTGTCTTCCATTCTAATGCTTCATTGCAAAGTTTACTACAGTATTAGCCCCACTTGAAAATAATGTATTGTACAAGAGAGATATTCTAATAATTAGATGTCACTTCAAATATTATGTAGTGTATTGGTTTAGCATTCTGTAATGTACAAGTTGACTGTTCTGGCAGAACTCCATTGATTTGTGTGTTCACACAAGGGCAATCATGCAAGTAATTTTACCTGGTTAGCAGGTTGTCTTCCATGCTGCACTACATTCGCAGGTAGAAGAACAGTGGTGTACATGGCCGGATGATGGATGGCAACCAAAATTGGAAACCCTTTTGACCTTAGAGGCACATGCTCTGAACTGTTTTTGGACGTAGCTTACTTTATTTACCCATTTAAGTTTGTGTCGTACTTTTACTTCTAAAGAACTTTTATGTGTGATTTAAATCACCAGCTCAGGGTGGTTGTGAGACAGTGCTGAAAGGATAGTAACAGACTCCCCCACACCAAATCCTATAACCTAACCCAGTGGTTCTTAACCTTTGTTGCTCGGATGTTTTTGAACTGCAACTCCCAGAAATCCCAGCCAGCACAGTTGGTGGTGAAGGCTTCTGGGAGTTGCAGTTCAAAACTCCTGAGTAACCCAAGGTTAAGAGCCAGTGACCTAACCTAACCAATATCTGGGCTCCAGTCTCTGTGTTGGCTGTTTGAGCAGGACTGTGTTGAAAATTATACAATGCATGTTTCTCCTTCTTGCCATATTATCCCAATGCAGACTTTTGTAAACAAATCGCTAAAAAATGGCATGCAAATCTATTTGAATTTTACTAGCACGTCTTTCTCTTTCTAGAAATCTCCAACTTGCTAGTGGCTACAAAAAAATCTCAAGAATGGCAGCCAGTTTGCCCTTTAGGTCAGTTGAGCTTCCATCGAATCCTTAAAGAAGAAATCATGCAAGTAAGTGATTTTAGATGTTAAAACATTTCATGAGCATATGCTTTTCTCGTGATTCTTGAGGTTTTCTTAATGGTGATGTCTAAGAAAATGCAGCAAATTGTGCTCACCTAACTCCAAAGTCTCTATTATTTATTTATTTAAAGTATTTTTGCCCCATCTTTCTCTTTAAAAAGGACCCGAGGCAGCTTATATCATTAAGACAATATTTGACAATAAAAGCAATAAGTATCCAAATATTAAAATCTATTGTAATAATCAAATTATTATGCCTCTCTATGTTTCTTCAGACAAATTTCATAACTATCTTTCTTCCTTTTCTAAAATGATACACTTCTTATTATATAGGGTAATTATTCAGTCAAATAAAATGCATTTGGTAACCTACTTCTTGAAAGAGTTATGGGCCATGTTGCTTTTTAGGTGAGAGATTTAAAAATGCTACATTTTTGCAATGAAATAATTAACATTCAGAATCTTGCCAAGTACAAAATTGATGCATTTGGATATAGTGCTTACCTATCACTTGTTCAGTCTCTCGCAGTCTTGCGTACACCTCTCCTCCTTTCCTCATCTGGAATAACTACAGGTAGTGTTTGGAAGATTTCAGTTCCATTTTAGGTTAACCATGACTTGCATTGTCACCTGATTCTGACAAACTGTGGATAATCTTCACTAAGATTTGTTGAAACAAGCCAGTATTATAACTCATGGTTAGAATTTGGGTTGTTTCAACCAATTGTGATAAAGAGTAACTATTGTATGTCACAATTGGATGGCTCAGCAGGCTGTAGTGTTTCTAAAATGGAAGCAGAGACTTGTGATCTTCTAGGTGCCAGAGGAGAAGGAAGGAGTGGGTGGATGCAAGACTGTGATTCAATATGCAGATATTATGGTGGAAGAATTTGTCACAGCACTAATTCATAGCTTTATGTCCAGATGGAGCCAGAACCTGATCTTGTTAAAGACCTCTTTTAATTTTAGTATATATTTTGGATATAAATTGCAGTCATAAAGCCTTCTTCATGGAGATAACTTTATAGTCTAAAATAAAGTTGCAAGCAAACCTACATTAAATTTGAAATTATTTCATTAATATATTGTAGTATAAAAAGGCAGTTATTAATTCATTGGATAGAATTTCTTTTTAAGTCTATCACATTGGACTCATTTGATATTAATTTAGAAAAAGTATCTTACATATTAATATGATACAATTGATGCCACTTTTAATGAAAATCTACAGTTCAAAATATGTATCCATTTAATTTTTATCTGTGGTAAGCAATGGCAGTGCATGCGTGTTACTAAAATAAATTAAAAAATTGTTGCATTTTCCAAGTGAAGAAATGACATTATGTTTTAGGGTGAACATCTTGGGAGAGGAACAAGAACCCAGATTTACTCTGGAATTCTAAGCTATAAGGATGATGAAAGCTATCAAAATGAAAAAGAGATGAAAGTTCTCCTTAAAGTCTTGGATCCCAGCCACAGAGACATTTCTCTGGTAGGTTCCTCTCTCTACTTTCTCTTTATATAATGGCCGGTGTCACTGCTGCTGTTTCATTTTCTGAAAAATGTGCCACCTTTTCAGGTTGACAATTTGTATCTTTGTACTTTGACTTATTACTTTATCCTTTTTTAATTTCATTGATCTTAAAGCTCTGTTTTGTTATCTTCTGAAATAGGCATTTTTTGAGACAGCAAGTATGATGAGGCAGATTTCCCATAAACACATCGTCCTCCTTCATGGAGTTTGTGTCCGGGATGTGGAAAGTAAGTAATTATCTGTGATTGCAACTTTTGAGGTGTGTTGTATTAATATGCTGTCAAGTGTGTTCCAATTTAAGAGCAACCCTGTGAATTAAAAGTTGAAATCCAGTAATGAGTCACAACTCGAGTAGATCTATTAAATCAGTGGAATTTACAGAGGAATTACTGTATCTTACTGCTGGATTTCAGCCAATGACTTTCAGGAGGTCCTGTCATCAACAGCCCTGCTCAAGTCTTGCAGATTAAGGGATATGGCTTCTTTTATAGAATTAGTCCATCTGATCCTGAAATAGAAGTGACAGTAAAATTAGTTATGCTAGAACTATGTCAGGCAATCCTACTGCTGCCATTTCAAAGATGTTCTGTGCCTTCCGTGGCAGTTTGCATGGTAGCAAGGAAGACAGAGAGCAAGAGAGGGGCTGGTAGAAGCAGAGAAGGGCTGGCCCTGTTGAATCTGGTCTCACTGATCAGCACCACATGTTGCTAGCATACAACCCAATCACCTCCCACCTAAGGGAATGAGCTCTACTTATTCTGTTATGATTGTTCTTATTTTCCAAATTTTTAAAAAATAAATCCCATTTTACTATGTATGTTTCAAAATGAAACTTTCCCAGAAGATTTTGAAGACTGAACTGCCTGTGGGTTTCCCTATTTGATTTTTCCTATGGTTGCAGATATTATGGTGGAAGAATTTGTTGAATTTGGGCCTCTGGATCTTTTTATGCACCGCAAAAGTGACAAGCTTACAACTCCGTGGAAATTCAAAGTGGCAAAACAGTTGGCAAGTGCATTAAGCTATCTGGTGAGTTGTAGATCTTGTCTCCAATAACAGTTATTATAGTCTAGTACCTAGGTTCTTAACGTGGGCGATTCTGTAGCGTTTTCTGCTCATTGGGCTGTAGGGTCAGAGTGGTGGATGTATCCTGACATTGTTTTCTGAAGTTTTTTTGGGGGGGGGGGTTACTTCTGCAAAATTCTCCTGTCCCCTCCTGTCCATTGATACCTTCTTTTTATTTGTAAATGGTATCATTTTGGCTATGAAGGGTAGTAAGAGAACTGAGATTTCTGTTAGTGTGTATTATGAATTTTTGGTACATTTTTCAAAACTCTGTTGAGTTTACAATTTATCATCCTCAGGTTACATTACACCTGATTTTCAATTTAAGATGAGTTGGTGATGAGTTGAAGAAGGACAATTTCCTGTCCCCATCTTCCTCGCTCCGTCACTTATCAGTGAACTCTCAGCAATTTTATTCTGGAGGTTAAGAATTTCCTCCTGAACTATGTGAGTTTGCTATTGGAAGAGAAAGAGAGAAGGAGATTCTTTGGTAATCTTCCATGACTTAATGTACATTGGTATCCCAGCCACTGTGTTTTTGAATTATTAGAGTATCTTTTTCAGGCTTTTCAAAAATGTAGTCAATATGTTTAGACTGGTTGGAATATGCTAATTAAGCGCTCCCTCACAAATGCAGGAGGACAAAGATCTAGTACATGGAAATGTGTGCACAAAAAACATATTATTGGCAAGAGAAGGAATTGACAATGAATATGGACCTTTCATTAAACTGAGTGACCCAGGAATTCCAGTTACAGTGTTGTCCAGACAAGGTACAGTTTGAAAGTAATGTTTTTAATCATGGCAGTAAAGAAAACAAACTTCATATCACCGCCTTGCTCATGCTTCTATTCTTAATGCATGCATCTATATTACTAATGTGATAAAACTGTATTTGTAAGGTATGTCAGCACTAGTGTATCTTCCAGAAAAATTGCACTTCTTACAGTCCATACTTCCTCCCAGATTGTGCTAGTATTGGATGTATTAACTGAAATATTAATGTTAGAAGTACCTATCTACCTATAGTACAGTAGTAACTTCTGCAATGCAGATTGAGAAGTAAATATTTTCCCAGTCCTGAGCTGACTGTTCATCAAGCTCATTAGATAATAGTGAGCTCTAATGTTATGAAAAATTGAGAAAACTTTCCCTGTCATTCTTTAAACAATATTCATTCATTTCCTTTAATAGTTCTCCCTAATAGAGATATTAAAATTATTGGGATACTTCTTGAGTTACTTCATTGGCATGTAAAAATGTGTTTACACATTTGTTGCACAAAAGGAGGGATTCAGAAGCTCTCTTCATATGCTTAGCATAGGGTTAACCTGAACACATAAGCCAAGAGAGCAGTTTTTTTGTAATGACTCTTTTCATGTGGAGAGTGGTGATCTGAAGAGGATAATGTCCTTTACATGTGCAGCCTCTCCATATTACTTGAATGTCTGGTTTTCCAGGGCTCCATGTTGCTCTGAAGACTCTGAAGATAGTGATGACAGAGAGAGAAAGAGAGTTGGTATTGTCTTGATGCTTTCCATTATGTGTTCAGTTTAATCCTGTCTTAAATGCCCAAATAAATTTCCAGCATGCTCTGGATGCATGTGCAATTCACACACTGTCTAAAAAGCTGGTATGCACATAGATAAAGATACACTATTTACTGGAGGAAAATGAAAGACAAACAGATTTTTGAAGCTTCTCCTGGAATCAAGTGGTAGGAAATGCACCTCTAGATTATTTCCAGGCCACCCAGAAAGATGAAAATTGGTACAAATATTCCAAGTCATTCTGAGTCGAAAAGTTCTAATTGGGACATTTTCACACCTAACGTTCAAATGTGTGTGATGAAGTTTAACTCCTAATAGAGGCCAGCAACCCTGGGCAGGGCAAGAGAAACTATATCAGTATACTGTTGCTGGGGATGTTGGCAGGTCTTTGTGTCCGAGTCCCAAGTCAGAGAGTCTTTGGTCCCAAGTCTGAGTCTATTAAAGCCAAGCTTTTTCCCCAGAAAAAAGGAAGGGGTAGGTGGGTTCCAACTCGTGAGTTGAGTCCAAGTCATGGGGTGAGGAACCCTAGTCAAGTCTGAATCGAGTCACCAGTACAACTTAAATCCAAGTCGACTGAAGTCTCGCGACTCCGGTCCACATCCCTGACTGTTTGACTGTGAAGTAGCAGCTAGAAACATAGATGCAAATCTTATAAACCCCTCATATGTCCCTGTTGGTCCATTAAAAAAGAAAAGCTTATACGGCTCAGATATGTTAGCTTTTCTTCATAGGAAGATAACCAAACCCAGATTCTATTAGATTTTTTTTCCCTCATGTTTTTGGTGATCCTCTTTGAAGTGAAATAACTAGAGGTTGGTCTAAAATGTGGATATACCATAAACAAATGTCATGGTGGAGTGATGTGCCATTTTGTTTTTAGTCTGTTTTTAATAGTTTCCAACCTTAAATTTGCCTTTTTGGCTGCTGGAGTTGATGCTTTTAAACAAGCTTTCCCCTCTTGCCCCCCCCCCCAGTTTTTCTCCTGAGAGGTGACAGATAGTTTTGTCAAGTAAATGTATATTGGAAGCAAACACTGCTAATTTCAGTATGGTTGCTTCACATGAATCTCACCATCTTCTTGACTCTCTTTCTCTGTTGGACTGTTTCTTTGAGTTATTTTAACATTTGCATAGGATGTTACCATTTTGAATACTAGGATGTTGTCCACAGAGTTCTCTGTCATTGTTCACTCTGTTGCTTAAAATTGCATTGTCCACTCCCATGAGACATTTTCTTATAAAAATATGTTTGTTGACATGTTAGAATTATAAAACAAAAATCTCAGGCATATACACACCATAGCTGCACCTACTGTATATCCTTTTCATCTCATATTTTGAAACAGACACTTTGCAATTGTTATGTTTGTTTTTTCCTAAAGTAATCCAAGTAACACTGTAGATTCCCTATAATATGATTCACTCAAATTCTTCCAATCCTTTCCCTTCATTTAAGAGTGTGTTGAGCGCATCCCTTGGCTTTCACCAGAATGTGTGGAAGACTCTAAAAATCTAAGTGTGGCAGCAGATAAGTGGAGCTTTGGTACAACTTTGTGGGAGATTTGCTACAATGGAGAAATACCTTTGAAAGACAAGACCTTAGCAGAGGTAAGTCTGTGAGGGCTTCAAGTAGGCATTGTTTTCTTGTGTAGATTTTAATAGTTGTTTCTCCTCTCACATAGAAAGACAAGAAGACTTAAAAGTTGAGTGATCTCTTTCTAGAGTATACCAGGCTTGTACATCATAAGGCATATTCTGAACATACTTTTTGACCTTGCAAAAAGTATTGTTTGCCAAATCAAACTTAGTTACAGATAATTTTCTTGGTGGAAGCTTCTTGTGAACTTTTAGAATAAGAAAGGAGTAGTTTCTACATTTGTGTGACTAATATACTTTTTCTCCACCCTGTTGTGCAGAAGGAGAGGTTTTATGAAGGACATTTCACACTTCCAGCCCCATCTTGCAAGGAGCTAGCTGATCTGATGAAGCAATGCATGCACTATGACCCTAATCAGAGACCATTCTTCAGAGCAATTATGCGAGATATCAACAAGCTAGAAGAAAAGAGTAAGAATGTTTTTTTAATCTTTTCCTAATTTTAATTAAGTTTGTTTTTCTGTTCATTGAGATTCCTTAACAGTACTTAGTGTGCCAACTCCTTGATGGAGCCATTAAAAGATTATTATGTTTGCTATTCAGAAAGTTCTAGGAAGAGAGTGGTATGCTCAGCCTAATGAAGTGGAATTTTCTCCATAAAAGCTTGCAGTTTAATTTGATTGATTTTTTTAGTTGTCCAATAAAAGCTGTCCCCCTACTCTTACATTTGTGTAATCTTTAGAACACCACAGCCTCTTCCCAATTCTTTTTCAATCCTAGTTGTCTGCAGTACACACCCCCTTCATATCTGTGGGTTGTCGTTTAGTCGTGTCCGACTCTTCATGACCCCATGGACCAGAGCATGTCAGGCCCTCCTATCTTCCACTGCCTCCCGGAGTTGGGTCAATTTCATGTTGGTTGCTTCGCAGACACTGTCCAGCCATCTCATCCTCTGTCGTCCCCTTCTCCTCTTGCCGTCACACTTTCCTAACATCAAGGTCTTTTCCAAGGAGTCTTCTCTTCTCATGAGATGGCCAAAGTACTGGAGCCTCAGCTTCAGGATCTGTCCTTCCAGTGAGCACTCAGGGTTGATTTCCTTTAGAATTGATAGGTTGGTTCTCCTTGCAGTCCAGGGGACTCTCAAGAGCCTCCTCCAGCACCACAATTCAAAGGCATCAATTCTTCGGCAGTCTGCTTTCTTTATGGTCCAGCTCTCACTTCCATACATCACGACAGGAAAAACCATAGCTTTGACTATTCGGACTTTTGTTGGCAAGGTGATGCCGCTGCTTTTTAAGATGCTG